CGTAACAAAAAAGCCCGCTCTAAAAAAAAAAAAAAAAAAGATAAGAGACTCTCACACACATGCACCCAGCATGTTTTCCAAACCACTAGGGCTGAGAGTCCTACCGCAGGCAGCCCTGTGGATCCAGCTCCTTTAACCATTGAAGGGACAGCCCTCGCCTTCTGACTTACATTGAACATAACCGTGCCAAGCCCTTGGCCAAATGCTTCCCGGGGCTCGTGTCATCTATTCCTTACCACGTGCAGGAAGTGGTAGCAGCGGTATCCTTACTGCCTCCAGCCCCTGGATGACATGGCAGAAACTCAGCTCTTTCACAGGGTGTCAGGAAGTTGGAATCAGTACTCCAACCGAGACCCATCTAGATCAAAAACCCATGTGTGTCGTTGGGTTCTTTTTTAAGTTTCTTCTTTTCTTTCATCGAGAGACAGACAGAGAGATAGAGATCTCCCAAAAGGATCCTCATGCTGTGATCCTACCCCCAGCCTCAGCCAGCCAAGAACACAAGCATGTGTGCGTGTGCCCAGCGTGCACAGGAAAACCACAAGACACAAACCCAGAACCCTCCCCTATGGCCTCAGAGTTTCTGAGCATTATGAAAGCCCATGTTCTTTTTTTTTTTTTGAGAGGTTTTTGCTACAGGGTGCGTGCGCTCGCCAGACAGACAGAGAGAGACAGAGAGACAGAAAGCGAGAAATCACCTCCCAGAGGGGATAGTCACACCGCAATCCCTTCTCCTCCATTCTCCTCTCGGGATCCTGGGCACACACGCACACGCGCCCAGCGTGAGTTTTAAGCCACCGGGTCCGGGACGCAAACCGCGGTTGACTACGTGGGAATCCAGCGACATAGCCATTACGCTAACTGCTGGTTCCCGGAAGCCCTTGTTCTTAACCACAGTTATCAGTACACAAGCCGCTGAGGTAAACAACAGCTCAGTAGTCCCCTTCTTCAAGGAGAGTTCATTCTTTTCTTCCTTCTCTGTAACCATTCTTTATGCCACTGGTTCAAAGTCTGGAAAGCCTTAAACCATCCTTTCATTATATAGATGGAGTGAAAGTTCAAAGTCAAGCCTGACCTGCTAAGGGGCCGCAGGGCTAGAGCCGGACAAGGAGAGGAACCAACATCTTTTCTTTTTTAAAGAAAAGATTGGTTGATTGGTTTAAATCTAACCAGAGACAGAGGTCCAGGAATCCAGCACCCTTAACCGCCAGGCCACTTGCTGGCCCCAGAACCAACATCCTGAGGGAACTCTTCTCTTCTGACCTGGGCCCACCCATCCCTTTGCTTGGCTCTTTTTCCAGCTGTCACCAGAGGGAGTGACCCAGACTCCCTTCTTTTGAGCCGAAGGCTATTCTGATTCCCGATTTCTCCCTTATAATAAATTTGCTAACCAACATTGGAATTTGACTTTGTAGTAGGGGGATCCAATAACCTATCTAAGAGAAAATGATGAGGCTGCACAGAATAGGAACTAAGGATGGAAAGATGGTCTAGGTTCGAATCTTGGCTCTTCCATCTGCTTGCTAGGTAACCTTGGGCAGGTCCCTTAATCATTCCACACCTCAGTTTCCTCATCTCTAAGTGGTTGTAATAGCAGTATCTATTTTAGAGAGTTAGTATAAGAACCAAGCGTGAATATTCACAAAAGGATAGCACACAGCCCTTCCGAAATAGTTAAGTAAAAAATAAATCATTTGTGGGAACCAGCAGTTAGCGTAATGGCTATGTCGCTGGACTCCCACATAGTCGACCGCGGTTCGTGTCCCGGACCCGGTGGCTTAAAACTCACGCCGGGCGCGTGTGCGTGCGTGCCCAAGATCCCGAGAGGAGAATGGAGGAGAAGGGATTGCGGAGTGACCATCCCCCCTGGGGGGTGATTTCTCGCTTTCTGTCTCTATGTCTCTCTCTCTCTGTCTGGCGAGTGCACGTGCCCTACAATGAAAATCTCTCAAAAAAAAATAATAAATAAAATAAAATAAAAAATAAAAAAATAAAAAAAATAAATCATTTGTCTATGATCTCCATTTAACAGAAAAGGAAACCAAGGTCAGAGAGGTTATATACCTTACCTAAATTTACATAACTTGGCAAAAGCAGAGCTATGGCTGTTCTCATTGTTGTTTCCTACACGTCATTCACTAATGTGTGGTCCCATCGCTGCTCACGGATCCAGAGTCAGATGAGAAGGCTTCAGGGGGTCTTGGGTGCTGTTGGAAATACCAGTGCCTCATTTCCTTCCTGTTCTGAAGTAGTTACAATGTGAGCAATTAAGAGTAAGGATGTCACATCCAATAAGCAAACTGAGTGTAAAAATGCTGACCAAACGCTAGTATTTATTTCCCTTTGACCTCAACTAAACGAGCTGATGAGTCCTACTTGCTCTTTGCTTGCACGCTTGCTTTCTGCTCATCGCCATGTTGGTTCCATAACCCAGTTCACAGCTACGTAAAACCGTGTGGTCGTAGGTGTTCACCCACCCTCTCTGCTTCTGCGGGGAGTGGGAGTGTGAGGGTCACCTTCTTGATAGCTGGAGCCACCCATACTGCTAATGGGGATGGCTGGAAATTTCTAGAGGTTTTTGGCAGGATGGATTAGAGAGCTCCAGCAGACAGCAGGCTGAGAGGCCTCGGCTGTCAGCAACTGTTCTTAGGATGCTTGTTGTTCCAGGTTAATGGGATTGACCTGAGGAACTCCAGCCACGAAGAAGCCATCACAGCGCTGAGGCAGACCCCCCAGAAAGTGCGGCTGGTGGTGTATAGGGATGAGGCACACTACAGGGACGAGGAGAACTTGGAGGTTTTCCCTGTGGATCTGCAGAAGAAGGCTGGCCGAGGACTGGGCCTGAGCATCGTCGGGAAACGGTAAAGACATGCTTGCAAAGCTAGTGTGGGCTTTTTCGTTGAGAGTTCTAGGGGCCGGTATAAACTACTGATGTCATGTCTAAAAATCAAGATGTTGATAATATTTGAACAAAGGACATATTTCTGAACAAGGTCTTACCAAAACAACATATCAAGATAGACCTGCATCAACCCAGATTTTTATATTTTCTTACAGAATCGGAACAGCTAGTGAAGTTCTTTCAACTTGGAATTACCTTGATCTGAGGTTTGCAGGTAGTTGATTAAAGCAGCCATGCGCACAAAACAGCTACAATCAAGAGGTAGATAAATGCGGGGCCAGCAGTTAGCGTAATGGCTATGTCGCTGGACTCCCATGTAGTCGACTGCAGTTCGAGTCCCGGACCTGGTGACTTAAACTCATGCCAGGCGCATGTGTGTGCATGCCCAAGATCCCAAGAAGAGAATGGAGGAGGAGGGAAGAGAATGGAGGAGGAAATCACTCCCCCTGGGGAGTGATTTCTCACTTTCTATTTCTCTCTCTCTCTCTGTCTTTCTGGCGAGTACACAGGCCCTGTAGCAAAAACAAAACCTCTTAAAAAAAAAAAAAAACGAGGTAGATAAATGCTATCTTGGGTTAAGAAAATTATTCTGTCGTTGAATACAATGTTAATTTTATACTGTTGAAAGAAGAGTAGACAGAGTTGAGAGATACACAAGAATTCTTCACTACAGCAGTTTTCTAATAAGAAAAATGTCCCCAAAATAATAGTTTGCACCAACAATTTTGGTTGATCCTGTGGCTAGACTGCTTTTTTGAAGTCTATATTATACTCTTACCCATGTGATGGGAATTGCAGGAATTGTTTGAGGCTAATATTTGAAAGTTTCTCTTGCAGTGAGTTGGAAAGGTAAGTACCATCTTGATATTCTTATTCTAGCTTCCATGGTTTACTGGCATCAGGTATCAAGGTGTGTATTTATTCTTCTCTTTTTAAAGAATTATTTTATTTAACTTTATTTATTTATTTTTATTAATTTTACCAGAGAGGGACAGACTAAGAGAGAGAGAGAGAAAGTGAGAAAGCAAGCCACCAGGTCTGGCACTTGAACCACAGTCGGCCATGTGGGAGGGAGTCCAGCACTCTTTAACCACCACGCCACCTGCTGGCCCTGAAGTGTGTATTTATTCTAATACCACTACAGGATTTCCAGGTAACACCTCAACATGGCCTTAAATTGTATCAAACATCTTCTTAGAAAGAAGTCAAGTTGTTATTGTTGGTTTGATTTCGGGTTTTGTTTTGGTTTTGGTTTGTTTGTTTTTTGTTTTGTTTTTTTTTAATTTTGCTGTAGGACATGTACTCTCACCAGAGAGAGACTGAGAAAGAGAAAGTGAGAAAGTTTCCCCCAGGGAGGTGGCCACACCACAATCCTTTTTCCTTCATTCTCCTCTCAGGATTTTGGGCATACACACACACACACACACACACACACACACACACACACACACAAGCCCTGCGTGAGTTTTAAGCTGCCAGGTGCGGGACTCAAACCACACAGTTGACCGTGTGGGATCTAGCTGCTTTAACCTCCACACCACCTGCTGTGGCAAGTTGGTTTTATATTTATTATGTCATGTGCCCTCACAGACTTTTGCTGACTAGCCCAGTGCTTTTTTCCAGCAGTTCAAGCTGTTGTTAAATAAAAGTATTAGCAAGCATTTTTGAGTACTGGTTTTATGCCAGCTACCGTGCTATCTTGATCTCATTTTTACTTTAAGCACCATAAAACCATCACTCTGAAAATGCATTACAAAACCGAAAAGGCTGAGTCTCTTACATTTCTAAACAAAAAGCAATGCACATCTGGGTGCAGAGCACTGATGGAGCCAGGTCGGAGTTTGCTTTCGTTTGCTTGGGGAGATTCCATGTGGCATGGTTTTTGTCTTATTATCATTTAGTGGCTTGAAGAAATAATCAGAGAACATCAATATTTCAGATTAAGATGGTAAGAAACACATTCCTTAGGACAACTTCCATTCTAAAGGATCAGATGTAAAGCTCTCAAAATTCAGTTTTCTTTGACTCACAACTCCATGAGCAGGCGAGTATCTGAAGGATAGGCTCGCGATGTGCATTCAGATTTCCTTGCAGTAGTTAGAATGGAGACAACCTGTCTGTCCATCATAAGTTGGTGATAAGTGAAATTGTGGAATATGCGTAGGGTAGTAAGCAGCCATTTCAAAAAATGAGGATGCTCTAAGTGCTATTAAAAACCAATCGCTGGGGGGAACCAGCAGTTAGCATAATGGCTATGTCGCTGGACTCCCACATAGTCGACCGCGGTTCGTATCCCAGACCCGGTGGCTTAAAACTCATGCCGGGTGCATGTGCATGCGTGCCCAAGATCCCGAGAGGAGAATGGAGGAGAAGGGATTGTGGCGTGACCATCCCCTCTGGGGGGTGATTTCTCGCTTTCTACCTCTATGTCTCTGTCTGTCTGGCAAGCGCACGTGCCCTATAGCGAAAACCTCTCCAAAAAAACAATCGCTGGGGCCAGCAGGTGATGTGGTGGTTAAGGGACTGAACTCCCATGTGGCTGACTGTGGTTCGAGTCCTAGACCTGGCAACTTGCTTTCTCACTTTCTCTCTCTCTCTCTCTTTCTCTCTGTCTGTCTCTCCCTGGTAAACATGTGTGCCCTGTGGAAAATTTTTAAATATTAAGTCATGGGGCCAGCAGGTGGCATGGTGGTTAGGGTGCCTGGATTCCCACAAGGCCGACCACAGTTTGAGTCCTGGACCTGGTGACTTACCTTCTCACTCCCTTCTCACCTCTGCCCTCTGCCCTCTACCCCCCGTCTCTCTCTCCCTCTCCCTCCTGTGCTCACACATAAACTCTATCGTGAATAAAGAAAAAAAAATTCAAGAAGTTAGTCGTTTCAGACTTTAGTTAAGACGTATTAGGTTGTGCCAATACCCCACTGCTTTATGGTATTAACAGAAATGGAAGCGGCGTGTTCATTTCCGACATCGTGAAAGGCGGAGCGGCCGACCTGGATGGGAGATTGATTCAGGGAGATCAAATCTTATCTGTGAATGGAGAGGACATGAGAAATGCCTCACAGGAGACAGTGGCCACTGTCCTCAAGGTGAGTCACTAGGCTGCTTTCTGCCCAGCTGGCACAACTGAAGTCCAACGGGAACCGCCCCACTAGTCTGGATTATCAAGTGGGTTGGCTTGTACGCTGCCTCTGGCTTTTACCAGAAGTCTATCTCTGATTCCTTTAAGTGATCAGGATAACTTGAAAAGAAAGTTCTGCTATATTGACTAGCAGAACTGAAGGGAGCCTGCTTTGTGATTTCTAAGTTAGTTTTTCATGCTTGTGAGAATTCATCCTCCCCCCTCCACATCTGTGTTAGGGAGTGTGTGATTCTGAATTCATCAGACCCAGCTGTTTTACTTAAAGGCGTGTTCATGACTACCTAGATCAAGTCCTCCATTTCACAAACGAAATGTATTGTAGAGTGGCATGCCCAAGATCACAGAGCCCTCTGCTTGAGTGAGCTTGAAGACTGGGGAACAGAGGTGAGAAGGAAATTTAGGCTGTCTCTCACTGAAGTTGTAGAGGTGAGATGTTCACATTCAGAATTCACTCTCTGTGTCTCACACAGACCCCGCTTCCATTGGAAGAAACCGGTTCATAAAAGTTCTTGCAAGTTCTCATTCAACTATCACCTGATGAAATTTCACTCTGTTTCACCAATAGCCATGAAAGCTTTTGCAATGACATGGATTTTGTTCTTCCTAGAATTCTGCAGTTCTGATACTGTCAACTCTCAGTTACTGCCCAAGAGAAAAAAATGTATTGTTGGATTTTTCTGTTCTTTTTTGCCACCTTTCTTAATTACTTCACTACTGATGAATGCTTTCTTTACTAGAGAAAAAGATGAATTGCAATCCAGTCCTCTGACACTGAGATGAATGCTGTGGAGTTTCCAAATTTTTCTTGTGTTTGATTTTACCGCCGCTCGTTTTTGCCCATTGCCTTCACTGCTCTTTTATAATTCTCGGCTGCAGAGGTCAGTGGAAGCTCTGCCGTGGTGTCTCAGAACATCCCGGCTACTGCTTTTCATTTCTGTTTCGTTGTCTCCCTAGTGTGCACAGGGACTCGTGCAGCTAGAGATTGGAAGACTCCGCGCTGGGTCCTGGGCCTCCACGAGGAAGACTTCCCACAATAGCCAGGTAGATGCTGGACTCCGGTCAGACCAACCTGCCCTCCTGCCCCTGCTGGGACAAAGTTCCCATTTTATAAATGCATGTTTGAGAATAATGTCTGATACACAGCCTATCCACCGTGCCAAGTTTGGTGTATTTTCATGTGTTTGAAATAAAAATGAAAGGTGGGATGGAAATTCATTAATCCCTAGATTTTTCTCTCCTTTATTGCCTGCAAGTGTTTTCTTAGGACCACTCTTCTCTCCACTAGGCCTATGCTTGCCCACAGCTGTGTTTATTTAAAAAAAAGAAAGAGGCAACATCTGGTGGCAATTTGACCCTCATTAGCACAACATTGTTCTATTCATTCAATTAAATGTTGCTGTAAAGTTAACTTGTGAATAGCCACTCACACATGCTGAGGGCAATTAATGGTATATTCCCAGGAGAGCCAAGTGTGGGGGTTTCTCCTGTGGGAGGGAGGCCTTAGTGGGCGATATTTTGTGGGCTAGCAAACATCTTATGTTTATTTGCAAGGCTGATGTAAGTGCCACCTTTTTTTTTTGGACAAAGTATATTTAGCTGGGTTTTGTTTTTTGTTTTTCATTATAATGGCTGACAAAATCAAGATGGCAGACTCTATGTTTAGTCTCATACTTAGTGAAACTCCGGAAACTTGTATGTGACCTTTCCGTCTCCTCTGTGGATAGTCATTTGTTTTGAGGTTAAAAGCGTGACTTTTGGTGCCTTCCCTGGTTGTCTTAAACTTAAAGCTTCTTTAAGGCCTGTGTTCAGAAGATGGTCTGGTTTTTTATGTTGTTTTTTAGAGGTTTTTGCTATAGGGCGGTGTGCGCTCGCCAGTCAGAGAGAGACAGAGAGACAGAAAGCTAAAAATCTCCCCCCAAGGGGGGATGGCCACGCCACAATCCCTTCTCCTCCGTTGTCCTCTCGGGAACTGGGGCACGCACACACGTGTGCCCGGCATGACTTTTAAGCCACCGGGTCCGGGACGTGAACCGCGGTCAACTATGTGGTAGTCCAGCAACATAGCCATTACACTAACTGCTGGTCCCAGTGCTCTGATTTTTGTGGTAAGCACCTAGGTGCTTCTGGAAAGCTGATAAATGCCTCCTTTGCCTCATTGGTTTTAGAAAAGGGTGAGGAAAAATATCAAGTTCCAATGAGGTCTCAGACGACCTGTGACCCAGCGCACATTTTATTAAGTTTGGAACTTTTTGTTTGTTGGCATTGCTGGCCTATGTAATGGGCAGCAGATTTCTTACTAAGACACACTGTCTCAGGACTCCTGAGTGAATAGTAAGTGGTGATTCTGACCAGGCTTGAGTACGGGAGAAGCAAAACAGTCTTAGCCAGACTTCGTCCTTATGGAAGACTCATCTTTGTTGAATGGGGAAGTATTCTTCCTGTCAGAATGCGAGAGAACTGCACACAGGAGATTCCATTGAGTCTTCCTCCAAGAGGTATTTGAGGGAAAGAAAGAGAAGGATCTCAGACTGAGAAGTCTATGCACTAGCACAAAGGGATAAAAGGAGTTCGTGTGTGTGTGTGTGTGTGTGTGCGTTTAAACTTAGTTTATTTATCCATTAATTTATTTTTAACTTGACCAGATTGGGGGGGAGGGGGAGGAGAGAGAGAAAGCAAGAAAGCAAGCCACCAGGTCTGGGATTCAAACCACAATTCACTCTCACCATGAGAGAGTCCAGCACCTCAACCACCATACCATCTGCTGGCCCCCCAGGAGTCCATGTGTTTTTTAAAAAGTTTGTGTCAAATACTTTCCCTAGCCTTGCACAGAATTTTTATTTTGGGGGAAGATGTTTAATTTAACTCTTCTAAATTTTTTTGAGAGGTTTTTGACATAGGATGCGTGTGCTCTCCAGAAAGACAGAAAGAGACAGAGAGACAGAAAGCAAGAAATCACACCCTACGGGGGATGGCCACACCACAATCCCTTCTCCATTCCCCTCTCGGGATTTTGGGCACACACGCACGCATGCCTGGCGTTAGTTTAAGCCACCAGGTCCAGGTCTCAAACTGCAGTCGACTACGTGGGAGTCCAGCCACATAGCCATTACACCAACTGCTGGTCCCCAGTTTAACTTTTTTTTTTTTTAAATAGTGATCATAATTTTAAAATGGCATTTCCGTGACCAACAGACGGCGTAGTGGTTATGTCGCTGGACTCCCACATGGTCGAACACAGTTTGAGTCTTAGACTTGGTGACTTAAAATTCACACCAGGTGCATGTACATGTGTGCCCAAAATCCTGCGAGGAGAATGAAGGACAAGGGATCATGGTGTGGCCATCCCCTCTGTGGGACAGGGGTGATTTCTCACTTTCTGTCTATTTCTCTCTCTCTCTCTCTCTCTCTCTCTCTCTCTCTCTCTCTCTCCCTGGCAAGCGCATGCGCTTTATAGCAAAAATCTCTCTTAAAAAAGAAAAGGGCATTTCCTACCAACAAGGAGTAAGTATCTTTACTCTACAAAGGAAAGTGTTAGAAAAATCCTTTGAGACTTCTTTTCCTCAAGAAACTGAGGGAACATAGCCAGGCATACACAGTGACTTCAGAAACTTTGTGCAGGGCTAGTTCCTTAGTGTAGTAGTAATGCGTTGCTAAAGAGAAGCTCATCCCACATGGTGACTGTGGTTCGAATCCCCAGCCCAGACAGCCTGGAACATGCTGGGCACAGAGTAAGTGCTCAAGATCTAATAGACTGAAGGACTAACAGAAGGGGAGCGTGTGTGACGAGGTCCTGTGGAGGATGCTCTTCCCTCTCCCTCTTGTTCTCTCTCCCATCTGCATTCATTCTATCATACATGAAGAAAACAATGGTTTAAGGTTGTGGAAAAATAAAATTAAAGTGCAAGTGAATTTAGGTACACATTTGAAACCCATGCATAGATATTTGTTCTAACCATTTTCCATGAATTTTTTGAAGACCTTTTTTTTTTTTGAAATTTTACAGAGGGCACACATGCTCACCAGAGAGAGAAAAAGCACCCCCAATGGGACATAGTCACGCCACAATCCCATCTCCATTTCTTCACGCTGTTGGGATTGGGGCATGCACTCCTGTACACGAGCCCAGTTTGTTTTTCAATCCAGAGGGGCCAGGATTGGAATCTTGCAATCTGTCATGTGGAATCTGCCTCCCTTAACCTATAGGCCACAGACCAGCCCAGCTTCTTGAACTTAAAAAAGACCTGAATAGGCCAGCAGGTGGCATGGTGATTAAGGTGGCTTAGATCCCACATGTGTGACTGAGTGGTTCAAGTCCCAGACCCAACAGATGGAAAATCATGCCAAGCGCCTGATTGCAGTGTGGCCATCCCCCCTAGTGGATGATTTCTCACTTTCCCTCTCTCCATCTCTCTCTCTCAAGTGAGCACACATGCCCTATAGTAAAAATTACTAAAAGAGAGTCCTTGGCAAGATTTTTTAGACAACATGGGGCCAGCAGGTGGTGTGGTGGTTATCGGCGCTGGACTCCCATATGGCCAACCATGCTTCAAGCTCTGGACCTGGAGGCTTGCATTCTCACTGCCTTCCCTCTCTCCCTCTCTCCCTCTCTCCCCTCCCCCCTCTCTCCTCTCTCTCTCTTTCTCTCTCTGTCTCTCTCTAGAAATATTAAATAATAATAATAAAGTTAAATAGAATAATTTCTTTATTTAAAAAAAGAAATGCATTAGAAAGGGCTTTTACCATATATACAGTTTTTTTTTAAGAATTATCTACTTAATTTTATTTATCATTCATTTATTTTAATTTGACCAAAGACACAGAGAGAGAGAGAGGGAAAGTGAGAAAGCAAGCCACCAGGTCCAGGACTCAAACTGTGGATGGCCATGTGGGAGTGTCCAGTGCCTTAACCACCAAGCCACCTGCTGATCCCCCATATATATAATTTTTATTGAATAGCCACTAGCCATAAATGACTATACATCATAGACCTCAAAAGTACTTACTTGAATGACTAAAAAAACAGGTAATGGAAGTATAATAGATTATTGCTGACTCTAAAAAAATCTTAGAAAAAAACACATGAAATATATCTCCAAAATAAATTTTTTCTTCACTTGACATTGGCTGCTTTCTTCTACGATTAAGGGTTTCTTTTTTGTCGAGTTTCTATTAATCAAGATTTTACTATACAAGGAGGTTTCCAAAAGTTCATGGAAAATGGAATTAAAATTCAAGTTTTATTTGGTACTAAAAAAGTTAAAAATCTGAGTCCCGCAGTTGCGGTAGTTAAGGATGCTGGACTCCCACATGGCCAACCATGGTGTGAGTCCCGGACCTGGTGGCTTGCTTTCTTACTTTCTCTTTCTCTCTCTGTACCTCTCTGGTCAAATTAAAATAAATAAATAAAATTTTTTAAAAATCCATACAACCTTTTAATAACACAAACTCTGAAGTCCTCTCATACTTGTTTTAGCACAATGTATATAACACTATTTTCTTTTCTTTTCTTTTCTTTTTTTTTTGGAGAGGTTTTTGCTGTAGTGCACATGCACTCACCAGAAAGAGAAAGAGACAGAGAGACAGAAAGCAAGAAATCAACCCCCAGGGGGGGACGGTCTTGGTCTTGCTGCAATCCCTTCTCCTCCATTCTCCTCTCGGGATCTTGGGCAGGCATGCACATGTGCCTGGTGTGAGTTTAAGTCACCTGGTCCAGGATTCGAACTGTGGTCGACTACATGGGAGTCCAAGCAACATAGCCATTACACCAACTGCTGGTCCCTGTATAACACTATTTTGGTAATAAGAGAATATGGTTCCCTGTAGCCAGAGAACACAGAGTGCCCATTAACTGGCCACATAGTAACACTACGGGCAGCCTAGGAAAATGGTTTGGATTTCATGTGGTGCAAGAGCAGCCCCAATGAATGCCTATGTTCTACCTTTTTGAATGAAACCATATGTAAATATGAGCACATATAAACAGAAAGTAGGAAAATGAGTATGGGTGACTTGTTTTCTTCCTTGGCCTCCTTGGAATCTTGTTAGGTGGTGATGGTGACTTCTGTCATTGGAATACTAATGACAAGTATGGACTTTGAGGGCCAAGTCAATGTCTGCATGCAGGTGACCACTGCTCTCTTTGCAGGGAGGCCAGCACAGCTCACACAGCACCTGCCGTCCTTCCTTCGCCCCTGTCATCAGCGGCCTACAAAACCTGGTTGGCACAAAAAAGGCTTCAGATCCTTCCCAGAAAAGTTCAGGTATTACACGCATACACCTCTGGCAAAACCATCCTGTTGTGGGTCAGCTAGTGGTGGGGTGGTTAAGATGACTGGATCTCACAGGGCCGATTTTGTGATTCAAGTCCCAGACGTAGTAACTTGAAGAATATGCCAGGCACTTGTGTATGCATGCCCAAAATCCCAAAAGGAGAACGGAGGAAAAGGGATTGCAGGATGACCATCCCCCCCTGGGAGTAATTTCTCACTTCCCTATCTCCCCCTCTGCCTAGCAAGCACATGCACCTTAGAGGAAAAGGGATTGCAGGGTGACCATCCCCCCCGGGAGTAATTTCTCACTTCCCTACCTCCCCCTCTGCCTGGCAAGCACATGCACCTTACAGTAACATTTAAATTAAAAAAAAAAAAATCCTATTGCCTAATTTTTTTTTTGACATTCGTACTTGTAAAACCAATGTGTTCATCTATGTTTAAAGTTTATTTATTAATCCATGACCCTAACAAGGTCTTCACACTGCAACCCATTCTAGCCTCAGCCAGCCCAGATCACGTGCAGCATGTACAGGGAGACCTCCAGAGGCAAACCCAGAACCTTCTCACGTGGGTCCCGCACTGCAGAGCATCGCGTTACCTCTGCACCACTGTCTGGCCCGCTTTCACCTCTAATTAAAATGTTCTCTGATCTTCGAGCTTTGCCACGTTAGCAGCAAGCTTTCCAAAAGACCCGTTCAGATGTAGGGAAGGCCACAGAGATTCCTTTTAGGAATGTGCCTTTAACAGTTCAAAAATCACACAACAAAGAGAAAGGGCCCCACCAAATAGTGGTTTAGGGAGCCAGATCCCATATGGCCAACTGCAGTTCAAATCCTGACCCAGTGTCTTGAAAAACATGGCAGGCATGTGTGAACTCTAAATCCCAACAGAATAGAGGAATGCAGGAGAAGAATTGTGGTGTACCCACACCCCACTGGGGGCAATGCTTTCTCCCTCTCACACTCTGATGAGCACACATGCCCTCTGGCAATTAGAAAAAGAAGCAGGAAACCAGAGTGCAATATAAAGTAAAACTATTTACAAAAAGGAAATTAATAAATTACGGGTCACCAGAGGAAGGTCAGAAGTACATATACCACTGAGGGCAAAGCAGGGATCTTTTAAGTCTTCCACTAGGTGGAAGGTGATTGGTGATTAAGGAAGAAAAATGTACGATGAAGCGCAAATGCCTCATCCTCCAAGCACTTACTCACGATGTTCCAGGCAGTTGCTGCTACACTCCATCAGCTTCTGTCCGACCGAGCCACTGTGGGCACGTCTGTCTTGAGCAGAGAGCTCTTCTTTAAAATAGAGCACACAGTTGGCCCTTGATGCCAGTATGGCTGCCAGTTTGGGTGTTAGGAAAGAGGGAAATGCCTGCTTGTTTTAGTCTCCTCAAAATGCCTGCTTGTTTTAGTATCCTCTTTGAAAGGCTGGGAAAATGATACCATTTGCATTGGATAGTATGATATCCTAAATATATTATCTCCGTTTTTTTAAAGTTAATTATTTTGCTTATTTATAGGCACAGATACGGGTCCCAGGACTGTTGAGATAATCAGGGTAAGTCAGCTATTTTGCGGTGTCTTTTCTGATGTGTATTGAATGTCATAAATATACACCTTCCCCTTAACATAATTCATTGGATTGTTCGTGTAGTCTTTCAAGTTACTGAAGCACAGTACTGCCTGTGTAACAGAAGGAAACTGACTTAGGAAAACACCATAAAGTACACAGATGTCCAGCATGAATTTTTTGTTAAATCATCCACTACATTGGGGCCAGCAGGTGGTGTGGGGGTTAAGGTGCTAGACTCCCTCATGGCTAACAGCGGTTTGAGTTCTGGACCTGACAGGTAGCTTTCTCACTTTCCCTTTTTCTCTGTATCTCTCTGGTCAAATTAATAAAATAAGTCGTAATAACAAATGAAATGAAAGAAATAATTCTATAAGAAAAACTATCCACTATATTGTTTGCATGTGTGTATAATTAAACAGAAAACTTATAAAACAAGAATATATCATGTTAGACACACTCCTGTAGCTTGCTTTTTTCACTTTGCATCATTAACTTTTAGCCATGTCAATAAGTGTTTTTTTATAGTACTTAGCATGATTTTTATGGGTTGCATAGTATTCTTTTTTAATGAACAAAATTTTTGAAAGAATTTTTTAATTTTATGTATTAGTAGTAGTAATATTTTAATTTGACCAGAGAGAGAGAAAGAAAGAAAGCTGCCAGGTCCAGGACTCGAACTATGGCCAGCCATGAGGGAGTTCAGTGCCCCAAGTATCATGCCACCTGCTGACTCCTGGTTGCCTAGGACTCTATCACATGAATTTGTTATGATTTTCTCTTTTTTTTTGAAGAATTGTTTATTTTATTTATTATAATTATTTTTTAATTTGACCAGAGAGAGAGAAAGGGAAAGTAAGAAAGCAAGCCACCAGGTCTGGGACTCAAACCATGTGGGAGTCCAGTGCCTTTAAGCACTGCAAACCCCTGTCATGATTTTTCTTTTCTTTTTTTTTTTTTTTGGAGAGGTTTTTGCTATAGGGCGCGTGCGCTCGCCAGACAGACAGAAAGCAAGAAATCACCCCCCCAGGGGGCATGGCCACGCAGCAATCCCTTCTCCATTCTCCTCTCGTGATCTGGAGCACAAACACGCACGCGCCCAGCATGAGTTTAAGCCACCAGGTCCAGGGCTCGAACTGCGGTCGGCTACATGGGAGTTCAGCGACATAGCCATTACGCTAACTGCTGGTCCCGTTGTTATGATTTTCTTAACCAGCTTCCTCTTACTGAGGAATTAGCATGCTGCTCAACTTACGCTTTTTCCTTTAATTTTTTTAGAATTATGCATTTAATTTTATTTATTATTATTATTTTAATTTGCTATAGGCTGCATGGGCTCACCAGAGAGAGACAAAGAGAGGGAAAGTGAGAAAACAAGTTGCCAGGTCTGGGACTTGAACCATGGTCAGCCATGTGGGAGTCCAGCACCCTAACTACCACACCACCCGTGGGTTCAATTTATGCACCCTTTTTTTTTTCTTTTTGGAGAGGTTTTTTGTTTGTTTGTTTGTTTTTTTGCTATAGGGGTGTGCGCTTGCCAGAAAGACAGAGAAAGATAAAGAGAAAGCAAGAAATCACCCCCCCAGGGGGCATGGCCACACCTCAATCCCTTCTCTCGGAATCTTGGGCACACATGCATACACGCCCAGAGTGAGTTTAAGCCACCAGGTCCGAGACTCAAACCACTGTCGACTACATGGGAGTCCAGCAACATAGCCATTATGCCATCTGCTGGCCCAAATTTATGCTGTCTTTTATGAAAGCAAAACTAATTAATGTTTCCCTTTTTGCCCAAACATGGATAATTTCTTCAGGATTAATTCCCAGATATGAAATCATTAGATCAAAGCCAAGCTTGTTAATAAAAGCTTGTATACATATTGCTAAATTTCCCTTTGGAGATTATGTAAGATGCAGTTCAGTTTATAAATTTGTCAAACCTTAATTTCACTCTTTTGTGATATGCAGAATATTAGAAAGTAGATTTCGTCTTTGGTCACTTTTAACTTTGAGGTTCAAGAAATAATAAAGTTATGACCCTACTATAATCACAGTAACCAATGGCAATAAAGTGACGTCCAGCACAGCTTAGAGCCCTGACTCATCCCGCCTGTGGAGGTACTGAGCCGTATTTATCTGAATGGGTTTTCTAGAGAGGCCCTAACAGCACAGTGAGGGCTGGGCACCTCAAACAGCACAAGTCATTTTTCTTTCTCAATTCTAGAGGGAGGCCAGAAGTCCAAGACTAAGGGGTCAGCAGGCTTGATTTTCCCCGAGGTCTCTCTCCTTGACTTATAGGCGACCTCCTTCTTGCGGTGGCCACGTATTGCCTTTTCTTTGTGTCTCTCGTTATTTCTGGTATCTCTCCTGTGTCCTACTTCCTCCCCTTTTAAGAACACTGGTAGGATCGGATCGAGACACACCCCGATGGCCTCATTTTAAAGACCATATCTTGTAGTACAATTACATTCTGAGGCACTGATAGATAATTCAGGCTTCAGCATAAGAATTTTAGGGGCTTAGTCTGGCTACATAGCCTAGTAGTTAAGGGAGCTGAATCCCACATGGCCAACCATGGTTGGAATCTTGGCCCTACAGCTTGAAAACATGTATTTGTATGCCCCAAATCCTGCCAGGATGGGGAAATAGAGAAGGGATTATAGTATGACCATGCCCCTTTGGGGTCATACTCCCTCCCTCTCCTCCCCTGCCCCCACTCCCGATTGAGTGTATGTACCCTCTGATAAAAAATAATAAAAAAAAGAAAGAGGGGCCAGCAGGTGGCGTGGTGGCTGAGGGCACTGGACTCCCACATGACCCACCATAGTTCGAGTCCCAGACCTGGCAGCTTGCTTTCTCTCTCTTTCTCTTTCTCTTTCTCTTTCTCTTTCTCTTTCTCTTTCTCTTTCTCTTTCTCTCTTTCTCTCTCTCTCTCACCCTGTCCCTCTCTAGTCAAATTAAAATAAAGAAACGAATAAATAAGGTTAAATAAAAAATAATTCTAAAAAAATAATAAAAAAGAAAGAAAGCAAAGGGGAAAAAATTCCATTTTAGAGAGATGCTGTTCAGCCGGTAACCTTAGCTATATGATCTTTAAGAGTCAACCTCAACTCCTCAACTTTCTCAGCTACGGAATAAGGGTGATAATGCTAGTTATAAAATGAGAATGATGATGCTAATTTACGTCACAGGCAAATACAGCTGTGTAGATTAAATACGGGAGAGCATGTAATGTCTTTAGCATAGGACCTAATGCCTCAGTTGAATGCCCAGGAAGGGGCATCTGTTATTACAACCAGAGCTTGGACTAAGTCTGCCTCGCTTGTTCCCAGAATCTTTCCACTGGAGTGGCAACCCAGCCGTTCCTCTGAGGGGAAGTTAGGTGTACCAACTGTGTACGTAGGTATAGATAAATTAAGGAATCATTATCATGATGGGTTTAGCAAAGCCAGATTATTCCATCAATTTCTCCTCGTTTCAAGTGTTGTTTTTTTTTTTTGGTTGTTTTTACAGACTTTTATAGTAAGACCTGCTCTTACCAACCCTGTCTCCCACAAACGGTCCAAGCAGAAACATCATAATAAAATGCATTGTACAATTCTGCGTGTAAGGCTTGGCTGTCAGTGCATTCAGAAAATATAAGCGAGACACACATACTTTGAAAACTAGACTATAGGGACCAGTAGTTGGCATAATGGCTATGTCACTGGATTCCCATGTAATCGGCCATGGTTTGAGTCCCGGACTCTGTGGTTTAAACTCACTCCAGGCACGTGTGCGTGCGTGCCCAAGATCCTGAGAGGAGAATGGAGGAGAAGGGATTGTGGCATGGCCATCCACCCTGGGGGGTGATTTCTCCCTTTCTGTCTCTCTGTCTCTGTCTTTCTGGCGAGCGCTAGCACCCGATAGTAAAAATCTCTCCAAAAAAAGAAAGAAAAGTAAACTAGAATATAAGCTACCTGTGACTGGAGTAGTCTGCACGGTCATTATTCTGTCTCATGTGTATGGCATGACAGCATGAACAGAAATAACAATAATAATAAAGGAACAATGCCTCCTATTCGAGTGATACAACTTTCAAGTTTTTTCATATAGGGCTTCATCGTCGCTTCGTTTTCTTTCCCTTTTTCAACTTCATGGAGGTATAACTGACATGCCCGGTTCAGTTCTCTAAACTTCGGCTCTGCTGGTTTGGATCCATCTCACACATAACGTAGCTTAGCACTGAGCCTGAGAGTTTCGTGTGTTCCTACACAGGATTTGAGGACCCCTTTCTCTAGCCTGCTCCATCGGGTTTTCTTCCCTCCATCTCCAGCCACCAGCGGCTCCTTTGCATGGCTCCTCTGGCCAGAGAATGGAGCTTCTGTTAGAATGCTAGCAGTTCGCTTCATCTTTCCAGATCTTCAAGAGGGATCCCCCTCAGGGCCAAGCTTCTAGAAAAAAAGGAATGCTGGCATGGTGGTTAAGGTACTGGACACCACCACATGGCCGTCCATGGTTCGAGTCCTGGACCTAGTGATTTGCTTTCTCACTTCCTCTCCCTCTCTTTCTCTCTCTCTCTCTTTCTCTCTCTTTCTCTTTCTCTCTCTCTCTCCCTCTCTCTCCTCTCTCATCAAATTAAAATAAATGAATGAATAAATAAAATGAAATAAAATAAATAATTCTTTTTTTTAAAAAAAAAAAAAAAAAAGGAAACTGGGACGTTAGCGTAGAATACTAGGCCACTACGACCAGCAGTCAGATTTTTTTTATAAAAAAAAAAAAAAAGGAAACTGGGACCAGCAGTTAGCGTAATGGCTATGTTGCTGAACTCCCGTGTAGCTGACCGCAGTTTGAGTCCCTGATCCAGTGGCTTAAACTCACGCTGGGCACGTGTGCATGCGTGCCCAAGATCCTGAGGGGAGAATGGAGGAGAAGGGATTGCGGCCTGGCCATCCCCCCTGGGGGATGATTTCTCGCTTTCTGTCTCTCTGTCTCTCTCTGTCTGTCTGGCGAGTGCACGCGCCCTATAGCAAAAACCTCTCCCAAAAAAAAAAAAGGAAACTAAGAAATCTGCCCCTGCTATAAAGTCTCCAAGTGTGACTCCTCACCAAACTATTGTTTTGGTTTCTTTTACCTGTCAGAGGCCCAAGTAGTCACTTTGCGGGTTTCACCAGGACTATTTCCTGATCAGTGAGAGGGTGGATGTCCTAGTGTGCGTGTTCCACTGTGTCACAACTGGATTTTGTCGTTCGTTCTTTTAGTGATTTTTAAAATATCAACCGTATGATACAAATGGCGGGGGGCTGGACTAGAGCCAGGCGTCTTCACCAGGGTCTGTCTTTGGGAACATTCTCAGTCACATTCTGCTTCTCCCTCCATACTCACCACGGCCGTGGTGTCCTCTGAGATCCTTTGTTAAACACAGTTGTGTCACTCTTTCAGAGCCAAGGGTGTCTGTTCACACCAGAGGAGCATGATATGTGTGGCAGCTGAATCATAAACACCACATGAAAACGTACTTGCCAAGTCTGCACCGAAATTGGCCACTGAACTAAGCAGTAGCATTGGGTTTTTAAAGTTTGTTTATTTATTCTTACTGTTGCCTTTTATTTGAGCCTTTTCTTTAGACCAGGACTGGACTACCTCATCTCGTTTAACTCTCACACCAACACTGCGGCGAGGCTTGTAGGATCCTTCCCATTTTACACTAAGAGGTGGAAGCTCTCAGAGGTTGAATGACTCCCCTGAGACCCCAGAGGAGTTAAGTCCTGGAGCTGAGTTGAGTCTTTCTGACTCCAGCAGCCCTATGGTTAACTTCGTCGTCATCCTGACCTCCTGCTCGTACAAGGATTTTCTTCAGCAGCCATCTGGGGACAAGCAGGCCGTGGGTCCTTATTAAATACATAACTGTTATGTTTTCTTTCTTTTTTAGGAGCTCAGCGATGCCCTTGGAATCAGTATTGCTGGAGGAAAAGGAAGTCCCTTAGGAGATATCCCTATATTTATTGCCATGATTCAGGCCAACGGAGTGGCTGCCCGGACACAGAAGCTGAAAGTAAACAAGGGGGCCTGGTGACGCGCTAACAGCGTGTGGCGGGGTGGGAGAGGAAGTCGCAGCCATGGGCGCTTTCTTTAAAGTTGGAATTCCAACAGCCATCCAAGACCCACACTGAGGGCAAAAAGCATTAGAGAAACTTTATACCTGAAACTCATTAGGCCCCTGGGCACATAAAAATATTATTGTTTGTAGCAAAGCTTCTCCATAAAAGCAGAGATTGCAGCTCCTTCACAAACCCTCCCATACCCTTCCTAGCACCTCATTTCGCCCAAAATTGGTTTGCCAATGAGAGTCTTGATCTCAGAGTCTTTCCTCAACCAAAAGAATCAACAGTTTTTATGATTTTTTTTTTCCTGTTGCCCCTTAATCTTCATTTAGGTAGAAAAATAAAGCAGAAAATATTTGGCTTCGTCATTAAAGCTTTACCGAACCGTTCATCTGTTCCCCACTCTTGCTGGTGAATGGCTGTCTGAAACATCACCATTACCAAAATACAAAAGCGACTTTTTGTATTCCGAAGCCTTTTAATAATCAAATCTGACCCCCTTCTTGTTTCTCTGATCGGTCTGTATTTGGACAAAGCCATAAAAATTCCTTGTGGTTCTCAAACATGCATGCGTAGTAGAAACCGAGTCTGCACAATAGCCCCAAATGGGAAATATGACTTACAGAGAATTTTAAGCATGCTCCTCAAATTTAATTTTTCTTAATGATAGTGATTTTCTACCACTTTTGTCCTTCCAGGTTGGAGATCGGATTGTCAGCATTAATGGGCAACCTTTGGATGGGCTGTCTCACGGGGATGTGGTTAATCTGCTGAAGAACGCCTACGGGCGCATTATCCTGCAGGTACTGCGATCAATGGGACAGGCAGCTGCGCGAGGCAGATAAGTGGCGTGCAGGAAAGATTGAGCGTCACTGGCAGTAGGCATCGCCACCCAGCAGGGTGCTTGCTGATGTGAATTATGAGGGTTGAAAGCAAGAAATTATTATTTTTATTCAGAAATTCTTTAATGCCACCCATACAGGCAGCGAGCATGATTATATGAAAGCATAACAAGAGGAGAAAAATTACTCTTTGCTTCACATGATAAATCAACAAGGCTTTTAGCTTCCAGCATTCTTTTGTAAATCAAAGTTTGCAAGGAATTGGAAATGATTTCTTTTCTTATGCCCAAAGACTGTTACTGAACTGCCCCAGTGCAGTTTCTTCCTTTCCCTTTAAAGGGAGAGAAAAATTCAATGCCCTTTCCCCGTGGCAGAAATGATTGCCAACGCTGTTCAATCTCGCTACAGCGTAGTCCTTAACTAAGGTAGACAATAATTTGTCAGCTGTGGTCTCCTGGAGTATTGTCCAGAAGCTCGGGGGAATTACACCACGAAGGAAAAGCTAGGCATGCTGTTAATTACCTGTCTTTACATTTCCACATTTTCAGTGTCTCTGAGATGGACGACACGCAGAGACTGAGAGGCAGCATACTGGCAGTGCCTCCTATTAATGAGTTTCCCCAAAAATGTAGTTATAATCACCACCCTTCCGCCGAGGCAGTATAAAATGGTTTGTAGGTAAAAAGAATAAAACCCACCATTTATGGCCTTAAAGAGCTAGCAAGCCACTCAGGTAATTCTAGCCTTAAAACAGTAAGTTTGAATTGAGAAACCATTACATCTGGAAGAACCAATTTGTGGTGCTTATAGTGGTCTGACTCCATAGTGCCAGATGGACATTAAAAAACTAAATGGCTTTCAGCACTTATGAAGGGAATCGTGAAAATACTGTCAGTAGTTCTAGGAGACTTTATGTGCTAGGTTAGATATTACTAAATTAGTTGGGTCCCCAAGTTTCTGTTGAACACAAGCCAGAACACTGTATGGAATGGCCTGTGTTCTGCATCCCTTACACTCGTGTGGCTGACTCTCAGTGGACACTTACAGGATTTTCTCACACTTGCCTCCACCCTACAAATCTTTGCTTTTCACTGTGTGCTCTGCTTCCTCTTCCTCCGCGTTCTGCTGACCCCTAGAGGCACTGTGAGTACAACTCTGCTGGTCTTCAATTTTAGAGCTGTGAGCCATTAACCACACAGAATTTAAGAGGACGGTCCTTCCAATGATAACTGTGACAAGAAAAAAGCTTCTTTTTGGCTTTACTGATATTTTCTCACACTGTTGTAATTTTTTCAGCTCCACCTTTTACAACAAGAAATTAGACACCATTTAAAAGCATAACATTAACTAAATCAAAAAAGAGCCTTATGTAGGGAACAGCAGTTAGCTTGTAATGGCTATGTCACTGGACTCCCACGTAGTCGACCACGGTTCACGTCCCGGACCCAGTGGCTTAAAACTCACGCCAGACGCGTTTGCGTGCGTGCCCAAGATCCTGAGAGGAGAATGGAGGAGAAGGGATTGTGACGTGGCCATCCCCCCTGGGGGGTGATTTCTCTTTCTGTCTCTCTGTCTCTCTGTGTCTGTCTGGCGAGCACACGTGCCCTATAGCAAAAACCTCTAAAAAAAAACAAAAAACAAACAAAAGAAAAAGAGCCTTATGTGAAAATAAGCTATGCTGTTCCATGTGGAATTAACATTGTATTTCAGCCAAACTGCCACCACTAATGTACTTTTCAAAGAGTTTCTTACTGTGTTCTTTTTCTGTATTTAGTTAAGAAAATGGCATTGGGTTACAAATGTTCATTGTATTGCATTAGTTGGTCTTTTCTTTTCTTAAAATTTTTGCCATAAGGCATATGCACTTACTGGAGAGATACAGAGAGAGAAATTGAGGAGACAGAGGAAAAGTGAGAAATCATCCCCCATGGGGGGGATAGCCACAAACTCACCACACCGGGGGAATTGCCCTTCACAATCCCTTCCCCTCCCTTCTGTAATTTGAGGGTTTTGTTTTGTTTGTTTTTGAGAGATTTTTGCTATAGGGTACATGTGCTTGCCAGAGAGACAGAGAGGTAGAGAAACAGGAAGCAAGAAATCACCCCTCGGGAATGGCCACACCGCAATCTCTTCATTTTTCTCTCAGGACCTTGGTCACGCACACACATGCACCCAGAGTGAGTTTTAAGTCACCAGATCCGGAACTCAAACCATGTTCAGCTGTGTGGAATTCCAGCGCCTTAGCTACTATGTCACTCTCTGGTCCCATGTGCTTTTATTTTCTAACATGTGCTATTAAAAGATTAATGGATGAGACCAGCAGTTGGTGTAATGGCTATGTCACTGGACTCCCATGTAGTCGACTGTGGTTTGAGTCCCAGTGGCTTAAACACATGTTGGGCACGTTTGCATGCGTGCCCAAGATCCCGAGAGGAGAATGGAGGAGAAGGGATTGTGGCGTGGCCATTCCC